GTATTAGGTTTAGTATGTCTGACGATTACACGGTTGGCCAGTGGTTTGCGATGATTTACCTACTTTGGGATTGTCTGGGTGATAGGTCAGAATAAATGGTATCCTATCAACCTTTTCTTTCTGTCCATATCTGAGTAGGTCATCACGGTTTGTTTGTTTGGCCCTTTGGATTGCCTCTACAATCAGGTCTTTGTCGTAGCCTCGGTAAATTAAATGTTTAGCCAGCTCTTCAGACCTTTCTAGGAATCTTTCATCGTCGGAGCAAATTCTGCGTATCCTCAGTGCCTGGCTATATAAAGATCAACAAAGACTCTCTTAGAAACTATACAAAGTCAGAGATAGAAAACTTAGAAGTCATGATCTACAACCAAAGGACTGTTGTGAAGAAACTTCAATTGACGAAATTTCTTCTAAAAACAACCGTAAGAAGAAAAATCGCCGCAAAAGGAAGAATCGCAAGCACTCTGTAACAAACACTAATGCAACTGTTACTAACACAGTAGTCAACATCTCCAATTTAGAACTTACTGATGCAGAAATAAAACTTTTATCGAAAGGTTTGAGTTTCTGTCCCCATCCAAAAACACACGACAGAGGGAAGCTTAAGAATGACACCGAAGAGTTCATCCGCCGACTAAAACTCAAAGCCCATTTTGCCTTGCAACCAACAAACAAATCAAAGGAAAATATAAGCTGCGACCAACCCACATTTAGAAAGAAAATAAACTGGACCCCACCAAAAAGTTCAATTCCGAATCTGGAAGCCTTTATCAACTCGGTTGAAAACGATACTTCCAGACATATCAACCTTACTAACAAATATTCTAATTTGACAAAAGAAGAAACAGATGCCCTGCACTCACTGAAAAGCAGAACAGACATTATAATTAAGCCTGCAGATAAGGGTTCCGCTGTTGTCGTTATGAATAGGGAAGACTACATTAGTGAAGCAAGTATACAACTAAGTGACGCTAGGTTCTACCAAAAACTGGACATTGATCCAACGCTGGAATATGCAAAAATCATCACTAATGTTATTGACGAGGTGTACCAAAGTGGACACATAGACCAGCAAACGAAAAACTACTTAAGCCCAGAAAACTCAAGAGCAGGTAGATTTTATCGTCTACCCAAAATCCACAAACAAGGAAACCCTAGCAGACCTATAGTCTCAGTTAATTGGCACCCCACAGAAAGGATATCAGAATATTTAGATCATTTTATGAGACCACATGTCCACAAATTACCATCATATCTTCAAGACACGACAGATTATCTCATAAAAAGCAAAGCTAGTGAACCATTACTGCCAGATACATTACTTGCTTCCTTAGACGTCACATCTTTGTACACCAACATGCCGCACAACGAAGGGTTACAGGCATGTAGCGAAGTATGGGAAACAAGAACTGTACACAATCCACCCACATTCTTAGTCCAACTCCTGGAGCTTGTCCTAAAACTCAACAACTTTGAATTTAATGAAGAAAACTACCTACAAATCAATGGAACTGCAATGGATACGAAAATGGCCCCTTCGTATACTAACATTTTCATGGGAAAACTTGAGGGTCAACTCTTAGCATCGGTTGAGCGTACACCATACCAGTGGGTACGCTTTATCGATGATATAGAAATGAAGTGGCAGTATGGAAGAGAAAATCTGGATGACTTCATATCAAAGGCAAACAACTTCCATCCTTCAATAAAATTCACGGCAGAAATTTCAAACTCAAACCATGTTTTCCTGGACACAACAACCAGACTGGTGGAAAACAAATTACACACAGACATCTACTCGAAACCAACCGACAAACACCAGTATCTCCTCCCAACCAGCTGTCATCCAAAACACTGCATCAAGAACATTCCATATAGCCAGGCACTGAGGATACACAGAATTTGCTCCGACGATGAAAGATTCCTAGAAAGGTCTGAAGAGCTGGCTAAACATTTAATTTACCGAGGCTACGACAAAGACCTGATTGCGGAGGCAATCCAAAGGGCCAAACAAACCGTGATGACCTACTCAGATATGGACAGAAAGAAAAGGTTGATAGGATACCATTTATTCTGACCTATCACCCAGACAATCCCAAAGTAGGTAAAATCATCGCAAACCACTGGCCAACCGTGTAATCGTCAGACATACTAAACCTAATACTTCCGAACAAACCTGTAGTAGCTTACCGGAGACCAAAAAACCTAAAGGACATCCTAGTCAGGGCAAAGCTAACGCCAATCGCTAGTCAAAACCAACCTAGTCAATCTGGACCCTGTGGCGATGAAAGATGCAAAACCTGTCAACATATGATAGAGACCAAGACATTCACTAGCACAGTGACTAAAGAAAAACTAAACATACATGATCCAAACAAAACGTGCAAAACAGAGAATGTGATTTATCTTATCACATGTAAGATCCGTGGCCTTCAATACGTCGGAGAAACTGAAAAGCTACACAAGAGGATAAACCTTCATAGATCTGATTGGATGACAAAAAAGCTGTACAGAAGCCCGGTCGCAGAACAATACTCCTCCCCTGGCCACGCTTTCAGTGATATAATACTTATCGCTATTGCTAACAACCACAGCTGGAGTTCCGAAACCAGAAAGGAAAAGGAATCATACTGGACACGCCGCCTTAGAACATTGAAACCAAGCGGTCTAAACCAAGAAGACTAGAAAATGAAAACTATGCACTCGTAGAATTTAACATTTTCTAAATCTTCTTATTATCCTTCAAATTTTACTATAAGAATAACCGGTATAGAATCAAATATCCGGGATATAATCTGCGCTACATAAATGTACAAAAAGTAAAAATAGATGTCGCTTTGGCTTGTAGACTTTTAGGGAATTATACACCGTTTTCAGTTTCCGCAACTAGTCTATACAAGCCGGTTGTATTTATAGTTTTAACACATGTGGAGACAGCCATGTAGAGGTTTACAAACACAACGTTTTTGTGTTTATTTGTTTGTCGAATATATGTTTTGTATTTACCTTTGAAAAAGACTCATTAAGAGTCGAAAGCGCTTAGGCTAGTTAGTTACTAGTTTCGTATTGTTCGTCGTCAGTTTATTGCATCTATCTATCTATCTATCTATATATATATATATATATATATATATATATATATATATATATATATATATATATATATATATATATATATATATATATATATATACATTTGGTTTTGTTATGACAATTATTGCATCAGGGATTAACCAAGCTGCATTAGGGATTGGCCAAGTACAGCCTAATGCAACACTTATACTATTAAGCATGCAATGTTAACTCTTCATGTTATTATTCGTCCTAATGAATAATGCTCATTTACACTGCCCATAATTTTTTTCTTTAAACTCTTGAAGTTTATACGTGTAAGTTTGTTCGTTTGTCCTTCTTTCATAATATTCGTTTCAGATGGCTACGAAAAACAAAATATACTAATTTTGCCCTTTGCTTAAAATTTCAACTTTCCCTGTTCGTGCTTGAGTTTCAGCTGTGCTCTGCGCATTTTGTTTCGGCAGATTAGGATCTTTGTTTTTTTTTTTGTTGTTTTTTTCAGTTTGATTGAAGTTATAAGTTATAACGGACGGTATATATTATGCGGTTCGGGACGAAAATGCACAACTAAATGAATGCTCGTCATTTAAGTTTTTAAACCTTGATGCACTAACACTGTCACGTAGTTAAGTTAGAATGCCATGGTCTGTAACAATCACTGGTAAACGGAAAAACAAGAAACTAAATCAAACAATAAAATTCCTGTGCGCGGCGTATCGTTTGACGTTATCCACATATATATTTAGCCAAGATAAGGGATCAAGGAAAGAATGATGGTCAGATTTTCGATTGTGTACTTATCCTGCAAATATTCAGTTTATAGGTCACTAGGTCGTTTAATTTCTAAGATAAAAAATGGAAGAACCAAGATAGAAGACACATTTTAGTACTGTACATGAACTTTTTTGTAATACTCCGATGTCAAGTGTCTTATGCTATGTTACTCACCATACATCAGTTAAACTACTGGCTGTGTTCAGTGTCACGCCAGGAATACATAAACATTTCAATCATCAATAAGACATAAATATCAATATCTAAAACTGGCGAGTTTGTTTCAATAGTGTTTTCAATCTTCAAAAGATGGCGGCGTGAAACTAATCCCCGGATCTTCTCAGATAGATTTTTAGTGGCATTATTCTTAAGATAACGCACTTTCAGATTCATTGATCATCCAACTGAACAAACTTAAAAACTCAGACTTAAAAAAATATCACATTATCCACATTGTTACTGAGAAAATAATCTAAACTTTTAGGTAGAGATGAACTTTTATTTGAAATGTGGCGGCAGAGACTCAATGTGAAACCAGGAAATACTGTAAATACCGCTGTATGCCTCACAGCGAGCAACCTTCCGTCGCCTAATAATCAAGGATATCAGTGTCTAGACTGGTCAGAACGAACTATTAGCTTTAATGAAAGCTTTTGACAATTCAACGTCTCTTATTAAAATACAAGTTGTTCAGGTCATTAAGTCGTTCAGTATCAACTATTTCAATAATGAGTGATATTTTTGAGAATACCTTTAAATGGTAATTATTCACTTTATTTATTTCTTCGTATATACATATTCCTTTAAAATGTTTGCTATTTACACGCCCCAAGAAATGCACAAGAAACACATGCGGAAAATCTATATATACGTGGTCATTTTTGACCGATGTAAACATAACATTTACAGTGTGTGTGGGGGGTTGTGTGTGTGATTTAGTTTTTTTAACGTAGCTTTAACAATTTTCAAGTCTACAGTGTGACAGTTTATAGTTATGTCTAGCACTGGGGCATCATGCCGCAGACATATGGCATGATGTCCCACCCATTCATATTACCCTGACACCAGGCCAACCAATCCTAAAACTAACCTCTGAATGCTGAGCGCCAAGCGAGGCAGCTGTTGGTACCATTTTTTAGTCTTTGGTATGACGGAGCCGGGGTTCGAACCCGCATCCTCCCGCATCTGAGGCGGACGCTCTAACCACTAGGCCACCGGAGTGGTTCATTTACAGAGTGGCATAACTGTACATAACATGTTGTTGTACAAGAAGAAATATTTTCTTCGCTTTTGATATAATTTCTTGGATATTTTAACTAATATTTGTTTTTGAAAGTACCCAAACTTCGACGAATTTCAGGAGATGATCCGTGTACCAATTACCAGACAATCCATCAACCGCAACGCAGTGTCACCCACGTTTCTCAGAACGGCGATAAACTGATCTGCGACCGACTTCTTACACCGGGTTGGTACAGATTTGACACTGGGGAAATGCCGACATCATGTGTCCAAGTTTATCACTGTGGAACCCATATACCTCTGTGGTTACAGGTACAGGCAAATAACTTGTGGGTATCAAATTTAATTAAATTAACTTGGAAGTTTTGAACTTTAAACTGGCAGTTAATTTAAGCCTAGACTAACACTAATGGAGGGATATGGACTCAGAAACCACTTGAAAAATGCAATGCATTACAATTTCAAAGTAGAAGAATAAAAGAAAAATATAATGCTTAAAAGCTCGTCTAGGTGATTTAAATAAAGTAAAAGATAATGAAAATGTTAATGAAAGAGTATATTTAAACTTCTGTTAAATAATATTTTACCATGAATTATTTTAGCTCATCCATAAACCAGTCTTTTAAGAATAATACTTTTAAACTAAGAAATTCGGTTGATCTGTAACAATTTGATCACAATGAGAAAAAATTAAAAGTAAAATTCTTTTACACTGAGCATACCTAAGGTTTTAAAAATTCTGTTTTCGCCGAATTTCGTATGATAGTGATTTAAAATAGACCATTTGAAATAAATTATACAATCATCTTTGAAGATGTGACCTTAAGAACCAAGAGTAGTTGTAAAATGTTAAAAACGAATAAGCGACAGACTAATTGAGGAATTATTTTCTTTTTAAAAAAAACTATAAAATAAGTATTAGAGATTGGCATTTTGTGTAAAAGAAACATTATTAATTAAAAATAACAATGGAGAAAATGGATAAATTAGAGAACTGTCAATATAGGATTACAGATTTTTGTGGAAAATCGGTTAAAAGAGAATTAATGTATTTGCGTAATAAAAACCCAATTTCATTCTTTTAGTTAGGCAAGGGTTGAACTTGATCGTAGAGTAGGTCTAGACATGAGATTAAGACCCCCCCAATGTACAAAACTGTGTAATACACATGCAGCTCAGTTTAATATATACAATTGGTTAACTCACCTAAACAAAGTTAACTTGTCGATTTACTTCTTCGAGATTAATATCTACCAAACTGAAACTCAATTTCTCACACTCTAACCATTAGACATATCTTTAACTGCACTATAAAACTGGACAATGATGATTCTGAAAGTGGACATAATGGACTAAATTTGGCCGTGTGGATATCAACGAATGGTTAAGGAATTTACAATTGGCTTCTTTTTATCATATTTCCTATTGTCTATGAGATTTCCAATTATCATTTTCTTATGGGGAAAACCACTAAAAGTGACACATATTAGTATCATAATTTCTTGTTTATATTCTGGCTCAAAAATACATAAACACTCAAATCAATTGTCAACATAATTGAATATTAATTGTTTAAATTTAAAAACAACTTATTTTCATGTGCATCAGCCTTAAATTTCACAACAACATGACTGCAGATACCTAAAAACTTAAAAAGCAAACATGAAAAAAAAGCAACAAAAAAAAAATAACAAAAAGAAACAAAAAATAATTGATTGATTGAAGATTGACCAGAAGAAAATAAAAATGTACATCACAATTTGTCAGCAGGTTAGGATTTGAATATTAGTAGGAAACAGGTATTTTTGAATAATAGAGGTCATTATCGACTGATGAAGCGAATTCTGTGACATACATAGATGAATAAACAAGTTGAAGACACTTGATTCTACCAGAAAGTAATGGTCTGACTATATATATATATATATATATATATATATATATATATATATATATATATATATATATATATATATATATATATATATATATAAATGAAATATTTGTTTACAATTAGTTAATAATATTTCTATATTTGTTATATTATTTTAACTAATAATTTCATTAAGTTAGTATTATTAATATCATAAAAATATGTCCAATAAGTCTTTAAAACTGATATAGTAACTCAAAAGATATAATATATTATGATTATTCATTTATAAATACTTTTGCACTCCATAATGTTTTAATATTTCTTTATTATTTAGTTTAAGTTTTGATTGAATATTCATTATCAAATGTTTTCATTTGTTGAATATATTTATCTGCATGATTTCAGAAAATGTGTTTGTAAATAATATTAAAAATATGAATAAAACTTTATATCTATTTATCCATCATGAAAGTATATATATATATATATATATATATATATATATATATATATATATATATATATATATATATATATATATATATATATATATATATATAAGTTTATTACTTGCTCGCCTTTTTCTCCGTTAACTTTACATTGTCAGAATCATGCAATATTCACCGATATTGAACATCTTGATACTGTAGCCCACGTGCAAAGGAACTATTTTCTAACGTAAACAAATTTTATGAATGAAATAAAGCATATATTTCATAGACGGCCACATGCCAGCAAATGTTTCATAGACTGACACATACAAACTGCTTTGGCACATTCCGCGTTTACTTTTTTATATAAAGTTTCAAATTTACCTATATATTGACGCTATACAGGTTCCTCACAATAAAATGCAAGTTATTCACAGAAAATGTCTTCTTTAGCTGTTAATAAAAATGGCCAAAATATACTTACAATTTTACATCTTGAATTTCCTCAAAAAATATATTTTCGTAGGTCTGTAAATCTGAATTAGATGAGCCATGTCATGGGTTCTCAAGATTGATTACACATTTTGAAATTGCACTGTAATTTCGAGTATATTTCAAGTGTAGTTACATCCTCCTTACTGCACTCAAAATGAAATAAACATTAAATTCCACAGCGTGTTTTCGATAATTGCAATGGAAAGGTTTCATAATTTTCTCACATTGTGATCTGAATCATTCAATGACAGAAAAGAAACACGCATGCCGATGTCAACACAATTCAAAACATTAAATTGGCAGACGCTGCTGGAAACCGACGCAAGTCACTTCATGTAGATAAATCCAGACCATAATCAAAAGATTGCGTTGAATCGACAAAAATACCAAAAGGTATTCATTCCACATCAAATGGAAAAGTTGTTGCAATGCGTATTCATTAACAATATTATTCCAAATTTCAATTTTAAGTACAGCAAGCGCCATTTTCTTTCGAAACTTACGTCTAGCTCGCGACCAACTTCATATTTATCAGGGCGGGGTTATGCGCTCATTAATAATGTTGTGTAATGATCCATCAACGCTTATGTATTTAGTTCTGAATACGACATACATTTAGTTACTTTGTTTCTTTCAGTGTATTTTTGTTTATATATTTAAGCCTTAGGAAGAATAAGAAATGAGCATATAATAAAAAGGTTACTGTATTTGTATGGGAAAATATGAACTCGTTTTGTCGTAAGGATATACTGCACTCCCAAGGTCGTGCAGTATATCCATCCGAAAAACTTGTTCATATTTTCCCATACAAATGCAGTAACCTATAAATATATCATTTGCGATTTATATTTTATGCGCACAGATACCAAACACAACATCAATTACAGTTTCTTTGCCAGTACCAGACACGTTATAATAGTAAAAGAGGCTATTCTGTTTTAAGAGAACAAAATATGATAAAGATTAAAATATTGTAAAAATTATAGCCGTACATTAAAAATCTGAATCAAAAGTTGAAATAGAATATGCCCATATGATATTAGTTGATTTCTGGATGATATAACAAGGAAACTGGCTAGTACCGTCGGATACAACAATTTAATGAAATCGAGTGACTCATTTCAACAGTAATTAAACTTCACCATCATTAGCGAGGTGGGAAAGAGCTGTATTCCAAAGGAATATAAACAATATTTGATCCTACTACAAGAAATTGAGGGGGGGGGGACAAAAATAAAGACAAATTGTGTAAGCTCTATTAAAGAAACAGAGATCGTGATTACAATAATTCTGCTGCCAGATATTCTATAGCGATCCGATACTCGAACGTTCAAAAGACTCATCACCATTTAGAAATTTAGACCATGAAAGGAAGAAACAATAATTTAGTTTGATACTCTTCTGGGAACTAGTACTGTTTACTTTTCAAAACAGATTGTAGCTGTTCAGGCTGCTTAGTGCACATCTTTGACTAATAAATATAAATAGCAATGCTATTACTGCCCAAAAAGTAAGATGTCATCTTAACGACAGAGGGAAGCAATTTGTCAAGCATCTCTAAGCAACCTTCGTATGACGCAAGCAATAATTATAGACAATACTGATGTTGTTGCTTTATTTGGTTAAACGAGACAAAAATTAGGAAACGTTTTCAAATTTTTTTCCTTCATATTTTGTCCAAATATTATTCACCTGCTGAAAGGAGGTTAAAACAGAAAACCTATTCCACAATCAGAACAACTAAAACCACCACCAGTTTCAGCAGTTTTAACCAAATTAGCTAATTAGTAACCTTGATATTGTCATTGTTAGGTTTAGCGTTACTTGGAGATAATATTTATTCATCACTGATTTTAATTTTTGCCCGTTTACGTTATAAATATTTGTAAATGTTCGATAGTTCAAGGTAATATTTTCTCTTCTTCATATCGTCTTCACGTCATTTTATTTATTTGTCATAATGTTTTAGTTCTATTTCAGAGTCATCCACTTCAATTGCCTTTTCTATCATGTCATCCTTTCTTCTTGTGGAGAAAACAAAAACGTCGGATAGATTAATATTCCTTAGATCCAGCTTAATGTATGAAAAGACAACATACTCCAAGTTTCGTCTAATAAACCCGCTATTTAATTCAAATCCGCAGCTAGTTGTCTTAATTAATTCGTTTGTAT